ACCCATTTTCTTTCAGTGTTTGAAATATGTTATTCCAGGATCTTCTAGCTTTCAGAGTCTGTGTTGAAAGATCAGCTGTTATCCTGATTGGCTTACCCCTAAATGTAATCTGCTTCCTTTCTCTTGTAGCTTTTAAAATTCTCTCCTTATTCTGTATGTTGGGCATCTTCATTATAATGTGTCTAGGTGTGGATCTCTTATGATTTTGCACATTCGGCATCCTGTAGGCTTCTAGGATTTGGGATTCTGTCTCATTCTTCAAGTCTGGGAAGTTTTCTCGTATTATTTCATTGAATAGACTTCTCATTCCTTTGGTTTGGAGCTCTGTACCTTCCTGTATCCCAGTGACTCTTAAGTTTGGTCTCTTAATGTTATCCCATATTTCTTGGATGTTCTGCTCATGGTTTCTTAACAGTCTTGCTGAGCTGCCTATGTTCTTTTCCAGTTGAAATACTTTGTCTTCATTGTCTGATGTTCTATCTTCTAAGTGTTCTACTCTGCTGGTAGTATTCTCCATTGAGTTTTTAAGTTGGTTTATTGCTTCCTGCATTTCTAGGATTTCTGTTTGTTTGTTTTTTATAACCTCTATCTCCCTGTATAGTTGATCCTTTGCTTCCTGGATTTGTTTGCGTAATTCGTTGTCGAAGTGATCTTTCATTGTCTGATTTTGCTGTTTAATGTCTTCCTTGATACTCCAGATCATCTGAAGCATGTATATCCTGAATTCTTTATCTGACATTCCATCTGCTGCAGCTGTTACCTCTTCTAAAGTTGCGTTGACCTGCATTGCTTGTGGTCCTTTCTTTCCTTGTCTTTTCATACTGCTTGTGTATCTTTCCTGCAGGCGCGGGCGGCAGCTCTGCTCTCTCCTTATTCCAATTGGGGTGTTGTGGCTACCACGCCGGCAGGTCACTGGGCCTGTTCTGGGCGCTGGCGGCGGCTCTGTTCTGCCCCTACTCCAATTGGGGTGACGAGTGTACCACGCCGGCAGGCCATCGGGCCTGATCCGCCGGTCAGTTGCAGGTTTGCCTACCCTGCAGGCGCGGGCGGCGGCTCTACTCTGCCCCTACTCCAAATGGGGTGACATGTCTGTCGTACCGGCAGGCCACTGGGCCTGTCCCGCTGGTCGGTCGCAGATCTGCCCACCTTTCGGGCACGGGTGGAGGCTCTGCTCTGCCCCTACTCCAATTGGGGTGTTGTGACTACCCCGCCTGCAGGACGCTGGGCCTGTTCCTGGCACGGGCGGCGACTCTGCTCTGCCCCTACTCCAATTAGGGTGGTGTGTGTACCACGCCGGCAGGCTCCTGGGCCTGATCCGCCGGTCTGTCGCAGGTCTGCCTACCTTGGAGGCGCGGGCGGCGGATCTGCCCTGCCCCTCCTACCACGTCTGCGGACCCCTGGGCCTGATCTGCAGGTTGATCACAGGTCTGCTCACCCTGCGGGCCTAAAAAATTATTTTTAAAAAAGAACTTAAATGATATGACTTCAAGATACTCCAAAATTTATTATAAAACTACAATAATCAAGACATGGTAATTAATACATTGCCATAAGGATAACGAACAACACAGGAACCCTAGAAATAGACCTCCACCCCCTGACACACCCACACTTAAGAGGCCCATTTATTTATTCATTTAAAATATTTTTATTAGTGATAGATAGACACAATATCTTTATTTTATTTGTTTACTTTTATGTGGTGCTGAGGATCGAACCGAGTGCCTCACCCATGCTAGGCAAGCACTCTACCACTGAGCTACAGCCCCAGCCCAAGATTTCATTTTTGAGAGGCATTAAATAAAGAAATCAATCATTATATTGGTATATAGTTTTGATAAAATAGGAGTTGCTAAGTTCTAGGAGAAAACAAATTGTTATTCCTCCTCACAAAACATCGATAAAAATATAATCCAGTTTACTTGCCATCTCTTATGCTTCTGAGATCTCTTGGGGGAGATCCATTTGTCCTGTTTCCTCTCAAAAGTTCATCACCCAAAACAGTGGCAGCACTTCCTCTAGCAGGTCGTAACATATTACAGCATAGGAGTGGTTTTATAGCCTGACCCCTGTGGCTATCTCGGTAAGACATCCTCTAGACCTTCTATTATGGAGTCAGGCTAGTGACACCCTAATAAATAAGGACTGAGCCATCTAATTTCAATGAGACTGACCTGGATTTAAAGGGTCAATAATCCAAGTTTATCAATGGTAGCTATATCTTTGTGAGTACAACACCCACCCCAACAAAAATTTCTCATCAGTCCTTGTTAAATATACCTAAAAGCCAATTACAGATTTGTATTCAAAATAAAATGTTATTCCTTAATTCAAATTATTGTATTAGTATTATATTTCATCTAGCCATACACACACACACATATATAAAATGCATTTTTATCATTTTGGGTGGGGGTACCAAGAATTGAACTCAGGGGCACTTAACCACTAAGCCACATCCCCAGACTTATTTTGTATTTTATTTACAGACGGGGTCTCAATGGGTTGCTTAGGGCCTTACTTTTGCCGAGTCTGGCTTTGCACTCACTATCCTCTTGCCTCAGCCTCCCAAGCTGCTGAGATTACAAGCACATGCCACTGTGCTGGGCCACTTATATCTTTGACCAGCAGGCTAAAGAAAATCATTGCTAGTTGATTTTTGGAAGGAAGTATGTATGGACAAAGAGCAAAAATTCTTTCAAATTCATAAATACTTTAGAACAAAAATAAAGACATAGGATGTGGTGACTTAGGGCAAGAGGCACTTTACTTCTGTTTTGAAAAATAGATTTCATTTTCTAGAGCAGTTTTAGGTTCACAATAAAATTGAACAGAAGGCATAGAGATTTCCATATACCCCCTGATAACTGCATTCCTTTTTTATAAATTGATTTCATGAGAATTGATATCTTTTGTGATTAGATATTTTTGTGATAATATTTTGTAAATACTTTTAAAAGTCTGATTGATAATGAATATAAAATTTATGTACATCATAATTCACCCTGCTTCGTGGCCAGTTCTTGGAATGTTAACAAAGGCATATAGTTGTGGAACTACTACCACAGTAAAGTTTCAGAATGATTCCAGATTTTCTTTTTAATATTTTTTTCTAGTTGTCAATGGACCTTTTTTAAATTTATTTATATGTGTTACTGAGAATCAAACCCAGTGCCTCACACATGCTAGTCAAGTGCTCTGCCGCTGAGCTACAACCCCAACCTGATTCTAGAATTTCTTTATAACACCAGTGTTTCCTAAGTTAAGCCCAACTTTTGAGCTAATAAATACATTTATATCATGATAATGAAGTAACCATATATTCTTTTTAAAAAAACATTTGGGATTCTTTATTTATTTAGTCCTGGGAATTGAACCCAGGGGCACTTCACCAATGAGCTACATCCCAGCCCTTTTGATTTTTTGAGACAAGGTCTCACTAGGTTGTTTATAGCCTCCCTAAGTTGCTGAGACTGGCTTTTAACCTGCTATCCTAGAGATGAAATTTGTTATTTTTTTTTTGAGGGGGGATTCTCAAAAGTGATTTTGGCATATAGCTTTCCTTTATTAGGATTTGACTCCATTTTTATACTCACTTAGAAATAATTTGGATTTTATTATTTTTTGGAATAGGCCCTTTCTCATGACTTTCTCAATGCTTTCTTAGAAAATTACCCTTTATTGAGATTGTAGTCCTCTATGATTTTCAAAATATCAAATCTGTTTTGCTAGTTATTTGCTAATATCAAGAACTGAAATTTAAATGGCTGGGGTTATAGCTCAGAGGTAGAATGCTTGCCTAGCATGTGTAAGGCACTGGGTTCGATTCTCAGCACCACATATAAATAAATAAATAAAATAAAGGTCCATCAACAACTACACATATATTTAAAAAAAAAGAAGAAGAACAACTGAAAGGTTTGCAACTTTACCCTGCTTGCAAGCTAACAAGTTAGTCTGCCACTGTATCAAGATGCTGGTAAAAAACACAGTTGCACTTAGCGACTCTGTGAGATCCTGTCTCTAAATAAACTACAAAAAGGGCAGGGGATGTGACTCAGTGGTCCAGTGCCCCTGAGTTCAACCCCCGGTACCCAAAAACTTACAAACAAATAAACAAAACCTCTTCATAGCTTAAATAAGTCTCTAGATGATCCTTAGCCACACTTAAATCAGGGCTCCACTGATTTGGCTTGTTTCCCTAATCACTAGCCACATCTCCTCCACTCCTGGACTCTGTTCTTTTGTGTTTCCCTTGCCTTTTGTCAATATGTACGGGAATTCAACCTGTTCCATGATATAAATTCATTTAGTAGTGATCAAGAATAATAGCAGTATCATGTAGAACAAATTTACAGGTAATTCTCCTACTTAAGTGAGGACACACATGTAGAGATTTAGAAGATTCAGCATGAAAGGCAAAAGCCTTCAACTTGACAGGGTCTTGCTAAGTTGATTAGGGCCTCACTAGCTGGCCTTGAACTTTCAGTCCCCCTGCCTCAGCCTCCCAAGTTGCTGGGATTACATGCATGCACTACCACACTCAGCAAGTCAGGCTGCATTTCACCTTACTCCTACCTCATTGACTTGAGGCTTTTTCCTCTTCTTTGCTTCCCTCCCTTCCTCCCTCCCTCCCTTCCTTCCTTCCTTCCATTCCCTCACTGTACTGCCCAGGTTGGCCTTAAAGGAGCTGGGACTATAGGCACATACCACGTACCCAACTCAGAGCTTTAGTTCCACACATGCAGTGCCTCAGCACTTGACATCCGGAGTTTCTGCTTTATTTTTGTGCATTCCAGTGTTCATAAAGTGAGCTTCAACCATAGTGATCTGTCTTTTGTATTATCCCTTGAGATATGAACTATTTGTTAGTATTCTCCTAATAAAATTGTATAGAGCTGAATGTTCTACTCCAATCCATTTCCCTATAAACTCAGTTTACTTTTGGTGCACAGTTTTGTTGAAGATGAGGATATATTTGCTTTCTTGTTTTCTTTCAGATTTGGAGCCCAGATATAGGACCAATACTTCATCTCCAGAAAAGGACATTTATGAAATATATTCGTTACAGTGGGAGATAATGGAAAGAATTAAAAGCTATACCCTTCAGGACTCCATTTTTAGAAATGATTGGGAATGTAAAAGCAAGATTGAGGGACAAAAAGAACCACAAGAGGGTTATTTTGGGCAGGTGAAAATTACCTCTGAAAAAACGACCACTTACAAAAAGAATAATTTTCTTGCTGAGTATCAGAGAATTCATAATGGAGAAAAATTATATGAATGTAAGGAGTGTAGGAAGACCTTCATTCGTCGCTCAACACTTAGTCAGCACCTACGAATTCATACGGGTGAGAAACCTTATAAATGTAAAGAATGTGGACAGGCCTTTAGACAGCGTGCACACCTTATTCGACATCACAAACTTCATACTGGTGAGAAACCCTATGAATGTAAGGAATGTGGGAAGGCCTTTACTGTGCTCCAAGAACTTACTCAACATCAGAGACTTCATACTGGTGAAAAACCTTACGAATGTAAGGAATGTGGAAAGGCCTTCAGAGTACATCAGCAACTGGCCCGGCATCAGAGAATTCACACTGGTGAGAAACCCTATGAATGTAAGGAGTGTGGGAAGACTTTCAGACAGTGTACACACCTCACCAGACATCAGAGACTTCACACTGCCGAGAAGCTCTATGAATGTAAGGAATGTGGGAAAGCCTTTGTATGTGGCCCAGACCTTAGAGTACATCAGAAAATTCATTTTGGTGAAAAACCCTATGCATGTAAGGACTGTGGGAAGGCCTTTAGAATATGCCAACAACTTACTGTTCATCAGAGTATTCATACTGGTGAGAAACCCTATGAATGTAAGGAATGTGGAAAGACTTTCAGATTAAGGCAGCAACTTGTTCGCCATCAGAGAATTCATACTCGTGAGAAACCCTATGAATGTATGGAATGTTGGAAGACCTTTAGTAGTTACTCCCAACTTATTTCACATCAGAGCATTCATATTGGTGAGAGACCCTATGAATGTGAGGAATGTGGGAAGGCTTTCAGACTGCTGTCCCAACTCACTCAACATCAGAGTATTCATACTGGTGAGAAGCCCTATGAATGTAAGGAATGCAGAAAGCCTTTTAGACTGCTCTCACAACTTACTCAGCATCAGAGTATTCACACTGGAGAGAAACCTTATGAATGTAAGGATTGTGGTAAGGCTTTCAGACTTTATTCATTTCTTACTCAACACCAGAGAATTCACACTGGGGAGAAGCCCTATAAATGTAAGGAATGTAAGAAGGCCTTCAGACAACATTCACACCTTACTCAACATCAGAAGATTCATAATGGAATTTAATACAAGAAAGCTTTCAAATTTGCATTTTGTTACAAAACACCAGTAAATCCATTTTTGAGAAAATACACTTACAACTAAATGTAAGAAATTTTCTATTAGGGAAGGAATGTGTTGCTTTGAGCCTTCCATCACCCTTCAAACATTGTTTATCTTCAGCAAATTCCTTTGAGAGAATAATTTAATGAATGTAGGAAAATGTTTAGCTTTATCTGTCATCTCCATTTTGCCACTTTACTACCATTGTGATATTGAACAAGATACTAAACCTTTGTGCTCATTTTTAAAAGTATGATAGTAGTACTTATTTATTGCTGTGTGATAAATTACTAGAACACATAGTAGCTTAAAATAATATACATAGGTTATTTCACAGTTTCTATGGATCAGGAATCCAGGCATGACTTAGTTGAGTCCTTGTAGTTACAAGGTTACAAAGTTTCAGCCAAGACTAAGGATCCATATCCAAGCTAACAATGCTTGAATTCATTTTCTTGAGGGCTCTTGATGGAGATCCTCAGTTTCTAGTTGACTACTGGCTGAAGCTGACTGCAGTTCCTTGCTACAGCGGCCTCTTCACATGACTACTTCATCAAAGTGTGCAAGCCAAGAAGGCAAGAACTAGCAAGAGGGAAGTCTGTTAGCAATATAGACATGATGCATCTTGTGTTATCTAATTGTGGCAGTTACATCGTATCACCTTTGCTACCTTTTACTGATAGAAGTAAATTACTAGACCAGCCCACACTCAAGAAAAGGGGATTACTTGAGAGTGAATACCAGGAGACAGGGACCATTGGGAGTCAATTAAGAGTCAGCCAGTCACACTGTGTGATATAATCATTGTAAGGATTAAGTAGTTAATACTTAGAAGAGTAGCCAGTCACATAGCATGTATTCTGTAAATACTGTCTATAATTGATATTAACATCATTAGTATTAGTGAATTCTCATGGAAGATTCTATAGGAGTAATAAGTATAGAAATGCCTCCTGTTACATCTCTGCACTTAATAAAATGAAAATAATTTATTCTAGTAAAATCTAGGAGATTATAGTGAATATCAGAAGTTCTTCATCACTTGATCTGCATCAGAAATTTCATGCTGAAAAGAACTGTATGAATTTATCAGAATCTTTTCTGATCCTTTAAAAAAGCAAATGGCTTAAAATCCTAGTTGTCTGACTAGAATTCAAGATATATCACAAACTCTCAAAAAAGATGGCATAAAAGAAACTAACCAGTTGGGAATTTAAATGTATGTGTATGTGTGTGTATGTAAAACTTATATATAAAAGAAAATACCATTATAGTCAGTATGCTTTTTGATGCTTAAATTGCCCCATCTTCAATTAGTTTTTTCAAATTAGGTGTTTTGCCAAGTATAGTGGTGCATGCCTATAATCTTAACAACTTGGGAGGCTGAGGCAGGAGGATCATAAGTTTGAGGCCAGCCTCAGCAACACAAATTGGGCGTTTTGAGATAGCCCCACAAATAGTAGTTTGATAGTTTATGACTTGGTTGTGATTATACAGTTTGTCAGCTGTGCAAGATGCTATGACACGATCATCATTCTTAAAATCATTAAATTGTGAACCAAATTTCAGCATCACCAAAAATTCATCAAATTCAAATGGTATTGTTTTAACAAAAAGTCTAATCAATAAATTCAAAAAGAATGATAGGATTAGAAAAACCATCATTTTCTAGACTTTAATGGAATAATGGACCTGAAAACAGTGTTCCATGGATAAAAAAACTTTTAGTTGAAAGACTTTATAGTGGATTTATCATACTGACCACTTCTGAATCCTTTGACCAATTTTAGCCTTAGTCAAAATGGGACTGTCACACAATGTCCACCTCCTGGTGAAATCCAATAGGAAGTAAATACCACTACCTGTGAGGCCTTCTTGCCAAAACAGTGAACTGAAGGAATCATACTTTTGAATCAAATTCTTTAAACCAAGATTTGGGGAATGAATGAATAAAGTCAGAGTCACCACAAGGAAGTCACCAATGAGATTCAGAATGTGTAAAATTCTACAGAATAAATGCCCTGATTTTGTCCACTAACGAGAGGCATGAAAAACAAAGAGGAGCAACCCTTAATAATAGGGTAGGATTAAGAGTCACATCACTAAATTCAATGCATGGGAATTGCTTGGATCTGGTTTGACCAAAATGTTAAAAGAGTTTTTGAAGACAGTGGAGGAATCGTGGACATGGACTGAATGTTAGATATATTAACTTTGTTAGGGATAATGTCAATGTGGTTGCTAATAAAATATCCTATGTGTTAGACATATTTACATATTTCTGATATTATAAGATACATAGATTTACATTGAAATATTCCAGCAAAAGAAAGAATGGCAAAATGTTGGTAATCATTGAAGTGCAGCGATTTGTTTATGGTAACTTATTGTTTTAATATTTCTACTTTTGTATGTATTTAACATTTCAGTAATAAAATATTTAAAATCAAAATTGGGATTATGAACTATTTAGAAGTTAATGATGAGATGCTTGCTCATCTAGCATGTCACATATCACCAAAGTTTTATTCATTGAGCAAATAATGCCGTTTGATGTAGTAATGAAGTCTCATTTGTGGGCCCATCTTCATTATCTTCACTTATGCAAAGTGAACAACACAGGGTCTGTCACATGGATAAGTGTCATGAAGGAATGAATAAGCATCTATGTAAAGAAACCAGAAACACCAGAATAAAACCAGCACAAGTAAAGGGAAGCCAAGTACAGTAAAGTAGAAATTAAGAAAATAGTAGACTTGATATAGTATTAATGACTAGATTTTTGCAGTCTAATCCAAGAAAAGAAACGAAAGATAATACACATAGAGTATTAATGATGGTAAAGGTGACACAACTACAGAAAAAATTAATAAGAATGTGGTTGCACATACCTGTAATCCAGCTACTTGAGGGGCTGAGGCAGGAGGATTGCAAGTTCAAGGCCATTCTCTGCAAGTTAGTGAGATCCTGTCTCAAAATAAGAAAGGGCTGAGGATGTAGGTCAGTGTTAAGAGTGCTTGCTTATCATGCACAAGGCCCTGGGTTCAATGCCTGCACAGAAATATTCATTTCAGTTTCAAAATGTGTAAAAATATAGAAGGATTACATTTTTCTCTAAGAATGCGTTACAATTGACTTGATACAGTGGAACCCAATAGAGAGAGAGAGAGAGAGTGTGTGTGTGTGTGTGTGTGAGCTCCCCTTTTTTGTTCTCTTTTTTTAAGAACAAGAAAATCTGAAAACTGTGTAGCTAAAAGCTTTAGGGAACAGATAATCCTTAACAAAATTTTAACAATTCTGTACAGCTAAAATAATCCTGATAATAAAACTAGACAAAGATAGCTCCTAAAAAGCAAAATCTAGACCAGCTTCATTAATGAAGATTGTATTCTTCACAACTCTAGTATTCATTACAATACCAGTCTTCATTAATATGTTAGTGAGTTTCCCTTCCCAAGCACCAGATGTCTCCAGACCTGTGATTAACACAGTATACAGCCCAAACCCCCAATGTTCTTCACATGTTTTGTCTCAGGGAATACTAATTCTCGATGATATTTGAAAATATTTTCTTGGAAAAGTATGCAAATGAGCAAGTCAAAGAAACAAAACAAAATCTCCTGCTTCGGGGGATTCCAAGTACATGTAATCAACTTTTCAAAAGATGTAGAAAAGAAAATTTATTTGAGTGTATCTAAAATTTATTTCATTGGGAATTCTCACTTCCAATATCTGTTAAGACCTTTGGTATATGAGCACTTTGGTAGCAGCTACCCTAACCACAAGGATGTCATTTCAGACATGGGAATGACTGATTGTATTGCAGGGGGTGAGGTGGGGAACTTTTCTTTGCAGCTCTCATCATACTCTACAGAATAGAAAAGATCGCAGCCTCGTCCTGGACATGTATGTATGAAACAGGCTCAACTATTTGGTTACACTGTCATTAGGATGTAAATAATTTTTCATTGTAATAAAATCCTATATTGAATACTATTTTGCCTAGTTTTGGGTTCTCTTAGAGCCTACAGTCTCTGCAAGGTGTTATCTAGAGGTGAGGTTGATTATTATAGGCTGTAACTACTTCCAGCTTCACCACTTATTGCCAGATTTTTACTCCATTGTACCAGTTTTGAATCTCTTCAGTCACTGAATCTGAGTTCATATTTTTCTATATCTTCTATGGGTTTCAGCATTTATTTTCCTGATTACAGATAAGTTCAAACATCTTTTAATGTATGTTTACTTTACTGTGCTTTTTTTATTTGTGTGCTTGCTTTATTTCTTTTAGATTACTTATCTCATTGATTTTCAGGATGCTTAAAATATTCCAGGTATTGATCATTGTAAATATTAAACATTTATAAAAGTTGGACGTATTTCTCTTAAGATACTTGTTAGTTATAAATCTGTAATGGTGTTTATTATTTTACGAATGTTGTAAATTTATATTCTTCATTTTAAACCTTCTTTAAACCTTCTTTCTTTTAGTGTTTTATGTTTTCTGCCATGTCATCATGAATCTTCAACTAGAAATAAGCCCTCTCAACATTTAATATATTTACACACCTGATTGCAGCAGCTGAAATCTTCAGAATAAAGTTGAGTATTGGTGGGAATAGCAGTCATTTCCGTCATTTACTCAATTAATGGAAATCACACAGTCTTTAAACATTAGCATCATGCGTTTTCTTAGAGTAAGTACTCTTTGTTATGCATAGTTTCGATCAGTCCCTATTTTATTTAATGCCTACTAGATTTTTTAAATATTTATTTTTTAGTTGTAGTTGAACACAATACCTTTATTCTACCTATTTATTTATATTTATTTTTTAGTTGTAGTTTAATACAATACCTTTATTTCACTTATTTATTTTATGTGGTGCTAAGGATCGAACCCAGGGCCTCACATGTGCTAGGCAAACGTTCACAATCCCAGCTCCTAGATTTTTTAAAAACGTATTTTTGTTTTAGTTGTGGATGGACACAATACCTTTATTTTTTATTTGTTTATTTTTATGTGGTTCGGGGATCAAACCCAGAGCCTCAAACATGCTAGGCAAGCACTCTACCACTGAGCCACAATCCTGGACTAGAATTTATCAAAAACTATTTCATCATCTGTTGATGTGAACATATTTTTCTACTTCAATTTTCCTTTTTCTTTCTTTTTTATTTAATTCGTTTATTTATTTGGGCGGTACTAGGATTTGAACCCCAGTATGTTGCACCATGAGTGATATTACCAGGCCTTTATTTTATTTTTGATATTGAGACAGAGTCTCACTAAATTGCTGAGGCTGGCCTCAAACTTGTGCTCCTCCTGCCTCAGCCTGCCAACTAGCAGGGATTACAGGTGTGTGCTGCCACACCCAGCTTCTCCTTTAATTTTCTGATGTAATCAATTACACAGATTTCTTCACTTTAAACCACCCCTAGGAGGTAGCCCACATATCTGTAATGTGTTTCTTTTATTTAAAACATTGCTGGGAGCTGGGTACCAGTAATCCCAGCGGCTCAGGAGGCTGTGACAGCAGGATCGCAAATTTGAGGCCAGCCTCAGCAATTCAGCAAGGCCCTAAGCAACTTAGTGAGACCCTGTCTCAGAAATAAAAAATAAAAAGGGCTGGAGATGTAGCTCAGTGGTAAAGTGCCCATGGGTTTAATCCCAAGTACCAAAAGCAAAATAAAACATTGCTGGGGAACTGGGGCTTTAGCTCAGTGGTAGAGTGCATGTTTAGTATGCACAAAGCCCTGAATTCAATCTTCAGTGCACACACACATAATGCTGTATTCTTTTTTTATATAAGTTATACTCCATTTATATACATTTATATTATTTATTTTTATGTGGTGATGAGGGTTGAACCTAGTGCTCAAATGTGCTAGGCAAGTGCTCTACCACTGAGCCACAACATCAGCCCGCTCAAATGCTGTATTCTTAAAGTGCATTTCCCTTTGTATATATGTATACAGCTTTTAAATGGGAACCAAGATAAAATGAAGAACCAATTTACCTTTAAGCTCAAAAAATAATTTAAAAGTTTTCTCTTAACTAACACTTTTCCTTTACTTCTCCATTCTAATCAAAGAATAGTATGTCCTTTAACAAATATAAAAATTATAAAGTGGGGCTGGGGTTGTGGCCTGGTGGTAGGGTAATCATCTCACACGTGTGAGGCACTGGGTTTGATCCTTAGCACCACATAAAATAAAAATAAAGGCATTGCTTCCATCTACAACTAGAGGTATTAATCCTAGTTTTTAAGTCTTGTCAGATGAAAACAATTTCATTTTATTTGCTTTTATTTATGAGTGAGCCTGAGTTTTTATTATGTACTTTCAGCCAAATATTTGCTTATTTTAAAAGCTAGATGATTGTTTTTTTTTCTGCTGATTAGAAAGGAATTTAGATTTTTTTTCTTGTATGCATTGCTGGTATTTATTTCTCACTGTGTTATTGGTCCTTCCAACTATTGTTATCTTTAGAATTATGGGTTCCTACCATTTCAGTCTCAGTGTTATAACCATGCCTAATTCGTCACTGTTTTTCTTATACTATCTTCACAGTTTTGCATACCAGTGATCCATGTAAAATGCATTTGATGTTTAGGATTGAGGCTGGGATTCATGTGTGCTTTTTCCTAATACATTATCATTCTCCTAATGATTGGTGGGGGTAATAATTTACCTTTTCTTCACTCATTTGAAATATCACACTCATTTTAATGAATTGTATTTTGATTTATGTTTGACACTGATCCCTTTCTATGGTGTCTCAGACATATGCAGTTATTAAACTGTTTTGTGCTGTGTTTTCAGAATAATGTTTAATAATGTTTAATAATGTTTAATATGTTTAATATCTGTAGGACATGCCCCCATCACTATTATTTTTAAGTACATGATTCCTGGGTTGTCTCTTCTGAATTTTTTGTACTTTTTAAATTTTAATTCAGCTATCAAGTTTGAAAGCTATACAAGAAAATCCTGATGTAAGTTAATGGATTAATCAAAAAGATTTTATCTTTTTTAACATATATACACACATGTATGCATAGTTTTATATATGTATGTATGTGTGTGTGTATATATATATATATATATATATATATATATATATATACATATACACATATGTATACATTTTTTTGCTTAGTACTAGGGATTGAATCTACTAGTACTAAACAAAAAATATTTTACCACTTAGCCACATCCCAGCCCTTTTAAAATTTTTTATTTTGAGTCTAGGTCTCACTAAGTTGATAGGTGGTGAAGGCATTCCTGTACCCGCTGTTTGACAGGGTCACAGCGTGCGTGGGGGATGCTGTGGCAGGGCCATACCATCTGGAAACCAGAACTGTGGGGAATGTTGAGTGTTTTGTTTATGATCCTCATGATACAGATAACAGGGCATATGTCAATCAATAATAAAAGTACATATTGCCTGAG